AAAAAGTGAAAAAATCCAATACGTTTATCTAGTAAGAATACAAATAATGTTTAAATCATTGTTTAGAGAATGAATAGACACACCCTTAACTATAACCTTACATGATGGAAGAATAATAAATCTAGAAAATAGTCTTTTAGGAACAATGAAAGGAAATTTAGCATATCTATAATGTTTACATACTACCCAAAATATTGTGTATCATTGAAAAATAGAAACTTTAATGAAGTTTTAAAATTGCATTTTAAGCTACGTAGAGATGATATCATGAAATCAAGTGTCATAACAGAGCTTTATACACATTTACCAATTGTAATTATGGAAATATTTATTTCAATAAACCATATATTAAAGTACAAAAAAATTGTAAGAATGTTAGCAAAATCATATAACCAAATAAACAAATAAGTTTAATTCCAGAAAAATACAAATTTAGTATAACAAGAAATAAATCTGCAATAACATAAATAAATGAAAGAGAATGTTCTAATAATATAACATTTAAGGATGAAAAATTAATTAAAAGATCAAAAAGTCTTAGAATACTTAATAAAAACTAACCAGAAGAATTTAGTAATATAAGAAAAATAAAACTTTACAGGAATGCTGGAAATATAAAAATTGAAGGAGAATACTATAATGGAAGAGAATATATAAATTGACCAAATATATTAATAGATACAGGAGCTAGTGAATGTCATATAACTTCAATCATAAATAAAGAATTAATAATTCATAAAACTGATCCATATAGATATGTAAATTTTGATGGACAAATATATATTTCAAATTAGAAGTTAAATTACCAATAAAAATATGAGGAATAAATGTTTTAGTACCATGTTATATAGATAAAAATATGGATATAAACCCTCATATACTTTTAGGAATGAGTTTTTTAATGAATTAGAATATTATAGTATAAAAAGATAAGGATTGTACATAGTACATAATGGACAAACTATATTATGTAAAAAGAACTAAATAAACAATCAAATAAGTTTTTCATTAGCTGTATATATACAAGTTACAATTGATAAACAAATATAACAACTTGTACTTTATAAGCACAGAAAGTGATATAATAATATTTAATTTTTTTTTGATAAAATCATGAAATAATAATAGTAATATAAAAATAATTGGAATCAAAAAAGAAAGTACCTAAATAATGAATAGTGCTAATAAAGTTAATATAATTCTTGGAAGTAATCAAGTTATAATAAATAAAGTATATAAATATGATAAATTAAAATGTGATATATTATTGAAAAATGACTTTACACAACAATTTTAATATTATAAACAAAATAATTATATGATAATGTTACACGCACCTTACTTACACTTACTAAAAATTCCAAGAGAATTTAAATTTTATAGAGTTCAGCCAGCCCAACGTGGTGATAAATGAGAGAAAAACCAATCATATTTAATGAAATAAAAAATAAAAGAATATTGTATAAAAAAGTTTTAAAAACGGGAATAAAAATAAGTATAGAAAAAATTATTGAACAATTAGAAAAAAAAAATTATAAAGAAAATTCATTATTATTTTGGAAACCACATCACTCTAAAGCCAAAATAGAATTAATAGGAAATGTTATAATAAGAGTTAAACCAATAATATATACTATAGAAGATATACAATAATTCAAAATTCAGATAAAAGAATTATTAGAACAAAGCTTTATTAGACCTAGTAATAGACCTTATAATAGTTCAGTCTTTATGATTATGAAACATTCAGAATAGGTTAGAGGAAAAGTTAGAATTATCATAAATTATAAAGAATTAAATAAATATACTAAATTTGATGGATATTTTATACCAAATAAAGAAGTTTTAATAAACCTTGCAAAATGAAAACAATATTATTCTAAATTTGATTGTAAGTTAGGATTTTGACAAATAAAAATAGAAAAAGATAATGTACAATAAACTATATTTAGCATACTTCAAGGAAAATATGAATGGTTAGTAATGTCATTTGGATTATAAAATGCATCACAAATATATCAAAGAAAAATGGATAATATATTTATAAAGTTTAACGAATTTCTAATTGTTTATCTAGATAACATACTAATATGTTCCAATAGTAAATAAAAATATAGAAGTCATTTACTATAATTTATAAATGAATGTAAAACAAAAAAAAATAAAAAAATAAAAATTGTACTTTCTTAAAAAAAATATTTATGATAGAAAAATAAAAAATAGACTTTCTTGAATTCTCAATAGATAAAATAGGAATACAATTACATACTCATATATGTAAAAAAATAGAAAGTTTTCCAAATAAATTAGAATTCAAAGAATAAATACAAAAATTCTTAGGATGTTTAAATTATGCTGAACGATTTATTAAAAATTTTTGTAAGAAAATGCATAAAATACAAATTTTACTAAGAAAAACAAATACTAAAGGATGGAATGAAGAACATACAAAAATAGTTAAATCATTAAAAGAAAAATTTTTAAATTTACCAAAATTAAGATTACCAAATGAAAAAGATAATTTAATTGTAAAGAAAGATGCCTGAGATAAATATTGGGCAGCAATATTAAAAGCAAATCTAAATGAGATTTGTAGACATTCAAGTGGAACTTTTAATTATGCAGAAATAAATTATACTACTCATGAAAAAGAATTACTAACAATTATTAGAGAAATAAAAAAGTTTCCATTATTTTTGTTATCTAAAAAATTTATTGTTGAAACTGATAATTCTCAAATTGCAGGATTAGTCAGGAATAAATTACCATCAGAACCTCAATACAAAAGGCTCCATAGATGGCAATCTTATTTAACATTTTATAGTCTTGATATAGTTCATATTAAATGAGTTAATAACTTTCTTGCAGATTTTTTCAGCAGAAACATAAGATTTGCTAATAGATAAAACCAATGTCATGCATTTATATCAATCTATCTTACATATATAAAAAGAATATATTTTCTTAAAGAAGAATCTGAAAACATAACTATTGGAGCAACACAGATCTCAAAGATGTTCAACTCAAATATAAAAATATTGTTGAATATCGTTACTGAGCATCATAAATAAATCATAGAACTAAAAAATCAAGTTGATGCTATTGTAGCACAGCTAAAAGATATACTGTCTGAGATAGATATACCAAAGAGTTCAGAAATGAGTTTTCAAATTAATACCAAATAAGGACAGCTGGAAGCAGCAGTAGCCTCAAACGTGACACCATACAAATTGATAAAAAAAAGAGATTCAACACCAACTAAAAAAGTGGTGATACGTGGAGATAAAAAATATTTCAAAACTATAAGTATAATAGACCAAGACCAAGATGATATGATCCCTTTAGATTCAAAAGAAGAAGAATATGTCAAAATAGTCAGAATCGTTTATGAAATAAAAATGAGCGATTCATATTTCATCTCTCCAGGAAATAATGTTTATCCTAGAGTGACAGCCATGGAAGGAGGATACCCCTCATTCATAAAAATAATTGCAGACTATGGATTTTTAGATTTGATATATTCAGGAAAAGATTTGATTGAAATATCAAAATTTGATAACATATTCATAAAAGAAGCATCAATATTTGCTAAGGGACGAATGACATATTCGAAATTTTATTTAATAAGTCATGAATATGATGGGGTTGTTTATTATTCAGTTGAACAAATAATATCAATTGGATATGTAGCATCTAATTTTCAAATAGATGTTATGGAAAATGATAAAAAAGCTCTGAAGGTGACCAAGTCATGGATCAGGCATAAAAGAGTACTTGGAATCAAAGCTATATACAATATTGCTAAAAATTTGCATGATAGAAATTTTTCATGCTTATGCCAATATGAAAACTGGATGTTAGTCACAAATGAATGAAATAGAAAATCAGAAATTTTGAAGGACTACATTATGAAATTCGACATACATCAATTTTTAAGATGTCCTACCACTATCAAAGAATCCTACCAGCTAAGAAATTGACCCAACTGCATGTGAAAAAATAAAGAAAAGACAATAATAGAGCTCCTTTAATAAAGCTGCATGTGAAAGGAGGGCAATAATAGAGCTTCTTGTAAAAAAGTAGAAGCTGCATGTGAAGATGTAGGCTCGAGAAGGGAAATAATAGAATGACAAGTGTGTCTTTTGATATGGTTGATGTATGCAATGATGTAAATAGATCAATAATAAGAGATTCATATGTATGTATGAATAGAGGCATTAGGAGAGGAGAGTCATCAAAAAATCTTGAATTGTAATCAATAGCTACTTTCAAGCCATCCTCAATTTGAAAAACCACTTTTTTCTGGAAATCCTTTTGTACTAAATAAAAATCTTGTATAAATCTTTATAGAAATAAAATTCCAATTATTTGATATCAATATGAGTTTCTAAATCTTTATTCACATAGATTCTTGAAGGATTTAATAGAAAGCTTCCTTCTTATTTAAGCATAAATAGAGTTTTCTTTAATTGAAATCTACACACTTATTCTTGAGAATTGATACAGTGAGAGTAAGAAACAGAAATAGTAAAAATTCCATGAAGGGAAGATGCCGTTGGGAAGCAGTTTACATATTCAGAACTCGAAATACACTCGATTCTAAGAATAAAGGTTCAGATCAAAACTAAGGTAAGACTATTAATTTTTGTTAAAATTTGAACGAATCTTTTTAAGATCTTAGAGAATCGCATGAATTATTTGTATGATTGAATGTTAGGATATACAATTGAACGATTATATGATCTATTAGAAAGAATGTTAGGAGAAATAAAAAATATTATTTCTCAATTAAAAAATATAGATGTATCATCTGAAGAATATAATATATTTAATAAAAAATATAAACAATATGTTGCAGATTATTCCAATATATTAGATCATATAATGGACCTATATACTGAAATATAGAATAGAATAGATATAAGATAAAATAGTTTAAAAGACCGGGATATATATTGCAATATAAGAAGAATCATTTCATTAAAAGCAATATAGAATTTTCTATGGATAAATTAAAAGGAAATAAAATTAGGCCAAATAGAAAAATCTACCCGTTATAGGGATGCTATATATATAAGTGGAGGATCCAGGAATCTAGATGAGCACAAACAACCGCCCAACATAGTGCTGAACATGCGGCCACAGGGGCTCACCGGGTGTTGGCTCCACTCCTGCTGTACATGTTTCTGCAAGCAAAAACTAGGAATTTCACAAAGCCTTTCTCACGATTACATCATGCTAACTCAACGCTTTAATTAGTAGCCTTCGTGAAACGATTCTCTATGCACCCACACATTCTACAAGCCAACTAAACTAAACAGCCAAACAAAATTATGGGAAGCCTAGCTAGCAAGTGCCAAATACGCAGTCTCCACAGAATTATTATAGTCTGCACTAAGTGTGATATATGGAGACTTCAATTGCAAATCGTGACACCTGAACGGAGCATTAGAGTGTTGACATGATGTAGATATTGCAAACCATTTAAAGGAAGGGAAGCAAAATTTGTTGACGATAAATTCTACCTCAACAAGCATCCAAAGTTTGCAGACATCATAACTGTATCAAAGTTGAATTTTTACATGGAACAAATGGCCAGAAAAAAGAGAGGGTAATTTATACCTACGAGCTCAGAAATACTAAATAATTCGCAAGTTCTGAACTCCGACAGAAAACCTCTCATATCAGTTTAATCTTCTCCTCCTAGGTGTACGTGAATCTTCACTATCCACATCTGAAATTCTGGAAGTATCGTTTCTTCTTCTCGAAGATGAAGTAGAAATGGACACTCTGGAATCTATTTCAATGGCATTATCTATCGTCGGACTCTCTGAATGTATAGCAGCAGCAATGCTTGAAACAGAATCCCTATCATCAACTGGTGGAGGCAGTTCTTGATTTCTTTCTACGACATTGTTATGGAAATAGGATTCAACTGACCTTTCAGTGGCTAGACTTTCATTAGAGTTAAATGCTGGTGTAAGGTTGGATAAGGCAGCAGCATTTGACCTATGAAGTAAGAGTGATGAAAGTCGGTGGTTTTGTGCTGAGGTAGCTGGGCTGCTTTCTGTTAGCTCAACTTCGACAGGTGGCAGTGCTGGGGTTCGTTCTCTACGCATTCCTCTAGAGGTCAGAATTCGATTGATTAACGAGTTACTTCTCTCTGGCAATTCACGAGGACCATTAAAATTTTGTGACTGTATCTGGACCAATTCCTGGCTCAAATCAAATGTATTTCCAAGACGTCGAATCATTTCCTCCATTGGAATAGAAAATGCAGTCCTCTGAATAGTCTGTCTCCAGCTCTCAACGCGCCGTGCTTGGGGCCTGAGAGGAATATTTAGATTAGAATCTACCTCAGGCTCCCGTTTATTGTTACCACGGCCATAAATTGGGATAACCGTCTTTACGGTAACCTCTCCCTTACAAATGGGACACTCCTTGGCATCGGAGTGATGATGTAACCACTGGTATAGACATGGCCAGCAGAACAAGTGACCACAGCAGGTTACAACAGGGTCCTTTGCCAAGTCCAAGCATATATTGCAATTGAAAAAGCTTCCTTCATAACTGTTAGTTTTTACACCATCTTCCTTTTTACGCAGATCCTCACCTTCCAAATAACCACTGCCATTCTCACACATTTTGGCAACATCTGTAGGTCTTTCCTCAGCAGCAACGCTACCCTCGCCAGTCTGCAATCCACTCCCGCCAATTAGTTCTAATGCAAGGTTTCTAGTTTCAGGGGGGATCGGAACCTGCCTCAACAATGACCGCAAATGCTCACTCCTCAGCCAGACAGCTTCCCTAAGCCTATTAACAGGACCATCTAACCAATCCTCCAAGTTTATGGGGACATTAGGATAAGATCCTAAGCCAGGCTCACCACCATTATTCAAATTGTCAAGAGGTCCTAAATTGAGATCAAGATTCACTGTACTTTGTGTCTCGTCCCCCATTGGGAATTGCTGACCCCAATGCAAAAGAATTACAAGATGTGTATACCACCTTAATCTTCGAGGTCCTCAATTTCCTGATTTTACTCGAGCACATGAAACCCAAACATTGCTCCTAAAAACTGAGTCAAAACCTGAACTATATTTAATAGAGTGGTCAAGAGCATATTGTAATCAAAGCTTTTCCAAGCATTCAGACAACAAAAAACTATTATTTACTGTTCAAATAAATCAAAACCCAGATTGGCTTAGTCAATAAATCCAATCCTGAAACATGTCTCTAATGAATTGAATTAAAGCCCAAGCATGATCTGGAGAGAAAAAATCCAAGCCCAGATGGATATTATGCTAAAATTAAATTAAAATTCCAACTTCATTAGTCCAAAATATCAGAGCGCCAAATCGTATTGTGGTCAAGTCACAGAAGATAAAGAAGAAAACCCTAACCTTTTCAGGCGAGAGGTGTCAAACGAATCAAGCCATCAGCTTTATTACTGGAAAAGGAAACAAAACAAAAGGGTCACTAAAACTGTAAATGACGAATATTTTCCCCTAATCTAAACTCAAAATTGTAATTAGGACTCCATACTGAAAACAAGACTAATTTAAGGGTGTTCTGCTTTAACCATAAAAATAGCAACAAAGGTTAAAACTCTAAGCTAACAAGAAAACACAAATACATAGAGAGACAAAGATAGACCTTGATAAGATTGAACTGTCGATGAGTAGCATAGAGAATTGATGCCCATTTGTAATTATGAGTGATGACTGATGCTCATACTTGAAAAGGATTTTCCATTCATATTTGTTTTGACGCTGAAAATTCAACGGTAAGGATCAGGTTATACCTTTTGGGGGTACGAGAAGGATGAGAATGAGTGAAATGGGTTCAACTCAGAACGCAACGTCAGAGAGAGAGAGAGAGAGAGAGAGGCAGAGACAGAGACAGAGACAGAGGGGGCTTGGTAGTGTGATGGGCCCCTGAAATAGACCGCACTAGCGCCAACACTGCTGGGACATGCACCTTAGCTTTCAGTGCCAAATCACTATCATTTCTTACAAATGTACTCCTCTTCTTCCTTCCTCTTTATTTCTTTATTTTTTTATTTTTTTTCCCTTGCGAGTCGTGTGCCTTTCTATTTATCATTTCCCTTTTTTTTTATGTGAAACTCTCATAAAAATTGAGATTAAAAACTAATAAAAAGCTCAAAGGGCACATTCTTTCCTTGAAAAGTATGTTATATATGGAAATGGTTGACGAATATGATTGTGATTACTAAATTTAGTAAGTTACAAGACGAATGTCGATTTTTCACTATTTTTTATGCTCATTATCGGTCCCCTAATCTGTACATGAATGTCATGCTTGCTAAATATATATACATATTTGTATATTTGGAATACATATGCAAATCAATACAAGACATATATGTAAACGGTAGACCAAAACTTCAAGCAAACAGTGCATCAAATCTTGTAGTATTTTTGGGTAGTTATAAGAAATGTTTGTTGTACTATTATTAGATGTATTTATAGTTAAATTTAGTGTCGAATAAAATGTTGTATCAAAACAATAGAGATATTCTTAGATTAGGGTTTATCAATCGCAGTGAAAACATTTGACAAACTATACAGTCGAACAAGAATACATGAAGGCCCCGTTTGATTGCACGAAATTTTTTATAGAACTTGGAATTTGAATTCCAATTTTCACTTTTGGCCTGTTTGATTGATAAAAATTTTCAGGGAATTGATTTTTTATAAATTTCTAGATACAACACCTTAAAGCGTGATTTTCCACCTTTTATTTTCCTATGGGTAGGTGGTTTTTGGTTTTTCACCTTTTTTTTTTTTGCTTTTTTTTTTTTAATTGTTAGCAACGGGAACAAATTCTAGAAACAATTGTAAAAGAGGATATCCCTAAAATTGACAATTTTTATGTAAAATAAAGTCAAACGAACACCAAAATATAGATGATTTTTTGATCGTTTTTTCCCTTTTTTTGGGGGTTTGGGGGGGGGGGGTTGGCAATGGAAACAAATTTTAGGAACAATGATAGAAGTGAATATCCCTTAAATTGACAATTTTCATGTAAAACAAAGCTAAACGAACACCAAAAAATACTTTTATTTCAACATTTTCCACGTGAAAAATTATACCAATTAAACACAATAATTTACAATTCCCAGAAAAACAATTTTTAGATAATTCAATTCCCTGAAATTCATTTTCTTTCCACCCAAATTCCATCTTCGCAATCAAACAGACCCTAATTTCTAGACAATTCAATCGCTTGAAATGTATTTTCTTTCCATGTAAATTCTATACTTGCAATCAAACATTAGGTTATTTAACATTCACTCAATCCAATTTCATTTATACCATTTTCATGTGCTAACAATCAAATTAATCTATTGTAGCTAGTGATATTTCGAGTTACACTAATACTATTCACGTAATCAAATTTACTATATCTCAGGTAAATCACACATATATTAACGCTTTAACCTACATGTATTCTATCGAGATTACATAACTTATAGTTATCTTATGATCTTTCTATATTACCTATGTTATTGCAAGGGTGGTGGGGAACCCTTAAGGTTAGGGTTTAACCTTTATATTACCTATGTTATTTATTACACGGGCTAGAATCATATATCACCACTCGATCTCATGATTATCCCTAAATCAATTAATTGTTGCGAAGATAATTGAAGCATTAAATAGACAATAAATAATGAACACATAATCAAGTTGAATGAAAATCTTTGGAATTAAACAAATATTAAATTTGAACTTCATCGTTCATCCTAAAAATTAATTATTTAGTCAATCATAATTGAGAAATTAAACAATAAAAAGCTAAAAATCATCACCGAATTAAATACAAGGAATAAAGAAAAGAATCTCAGCGATCGTTGTTATTTAACACCCAATTCCTAATAATAGATTGTCAATCTCCTCTTCCAAATTTATATTTCTTGATCAATTGTGGTTCTTCGACCTTTAAATCCCAAACCGAGATATAAATTTTGAGGATTTAATATATTTGGATGTGTAATTTTGCCTTCAAATTGTATCTCGTCTTCCATATTTTGGAATGAAAGATTTCTATTTATAGACCTAAATTAGGTATAAAATAGAGTTCCAAATTGTTTGGGAACCATAACTTTAGTTCAATTAGGATGATTCAAACTGATGAAATTTATATTTTGACTTTGCAATTTGGTCCATGTTTCTTCTTTTTGTTTGAATTGATTCCTTAGATATTGTCATCGAGGTCCTTCAGCATCCAAATGCGACTCCTAGGTCCCTAACTTCCAAGATATATCCATTTTTTTAATTAATTACTGTTCATTTTCATCAGTTTTCATCCAATCTCAAATTTTCTCGTGAAATAATAAGAAACACTAAATTAAGTATCTAGTTCATACAGTTATACTTAAAAATCATATTTTGATGGCCAAGAAAAATTAATATTTACATTTACTAAACACCCCAAACGTAAAGATTTATTCATCCTCAAGTAAAGCATAATAAATATTTAACTAGACTCTAAATAATTATACTTTACTCGATGTAACTAATTCAATGTTTCCTCAAAATGCATATAACAATCATAAATTTTAGACAAGTTAATGACACATAAAGAATTTTTTTTTTTTTNCGAAGTTCATTGTAGAAGGTATGATGCCAAATTTTCTCCATGTCATCCCAATTGCTGACAATTCCGTGCTCAATTGGATATTTCAGAGTCAGAATACCTCTCTTGGATTGAGCCTCATCACCAACATAGGCATCTTTTTGGCCCATGCCTACCATGACACCAGTGTGACGTGGGCGCCCCACAATACTGGGGAAGACAGCCCTCGGAGCATCATCTCCAGCAAATCCAGCCTGACAATTTTGAGATCAACATAAACTATAAGCTCTAAACATGAACTCTTAGTTCACTGGAAGTATTGGAACAATAAAGTGTAGAAGTTATTGGAATTTAGGTGGACACATACCTTGACCATTCCTGTTCCATTGTCACATACAAGAGGCTGAATATCATCTGCTTCTGCCATCTCTTAATATGCTCTAGAAAAAAATAGAATGACTTTCAACTTTTATGAGATCGGTTATTCATTACCATGGATATTGGATATAATTTTCTTCAATTGATGTGATACCAAAAGAAGATAGAAGGAAATTCATCTAGATCTTGATAGAACATAACGTAATGGAATTGTTCTCATATATTATTTAAAAATTTTACTCAAAAAACACAAAAGATGCAATTGCATTAAATAAAATTGATATGGAGACTTGAGTGTAAAATCCATCACATAAGGTATGAGTATAATAACTGGACCCAATTTATGCACAATGTTTTCCATGGAAAGCAATTGTGAAACCAGATTTGAAGATTCACCACCCTAAAGAGAAAAGGTACGAACAGATCAAACCGTCAAATGTTATAAAGGAGATGGTTTACGATTTGCCAAATTCTTTTGTTATCAAAGAACACCATATGGCCTCATAACAATACCACATTGATCAAATATTTAAGCGGTGTGATTTAAAATACACCTATATATTGGACATAAATGATATAATCAGGGCAATGATTCCCTTGTAGCTGCAAAGATATCAATACAACCAACAATACCATAATGCAATCAATATATGGGTATCCCAGTTCTAGATTTAATTGTTTCAAATAAAGATTTCCAGATTTAATTTAATGAGTTGGAAGGAGATCCCATATAATGCAAACTTCCACCAATAACCATGCATTGAAACACATATACGCACCAAATAACACATTATCTTTTAGATAAATTTCTATACTTGGAATGCCCATTTGCAGATCCGTAGATCAAGATTCAATAAAAGGATAAACAATCGATCCCGTAACAAAATAAGAACAAAAAAATAAAGTTATGTAAAAATAAAAATTATAATAATAATGTAAAGAAAAGGACTTTCCATCATTCAAGATTCAATCAAGATAGAAAGATTACCTCTGAGGTGTTCTTGAAAACGGGTGCGTGTGTTTGTGGGTTTGTGTACGAGGTGTGAGGCGTCTTGTTTAAAATCGGGGAATGACGTAGAAAAAATTGAGCTTAAATGAAGCTTAAATTCATGATTTTGAAGATCGGGGTCGTTGGTTGTTATGATTTAAATCTATATGTGAGGTCTGTATGACAGCTTGGCATCGACGGTGGACGTAAGAGCTGGCCCGCTTTTTCATTCAGCCATGAAGTGTGATTGCACCAATCATGCTAGGAACATTGTGGTATCCAACGGGGTGTCCAAAATGGACACTCGGTGCCTGCCGAGGTGCCTGCCACTCCAGAGCCCACTAACGCCTCGCCCAATACCGAGGTGCCGGGTATCCATTTTGGACACCCTTTTGGAATCTCGGTAAACCACAAGCATTATTCGTGATTGCACTGAAGTATCCCTCACCTTTTGGTTCATTAACTCGTGTCCTTTTTGCCCTTTCGAGGTCAATTTTGGAACTTCCAACGTTTAATAAAATTATTTTTAGAAAATTCAATTCCAATTAAGGAGAGGGTGTGTAAAATAATGCAATGTATATAAAGTGATCTCGAACAATTTCACATTGTTCAATAAAATTAGAACATGCATGTAGCAGTAGCCACATTACTAGTGATTATCAGCTTAGATGAATTGCATTAGTCGATTTTTTTGGCCTTCTTATCTACTCTAGTATAAAATAAAGAATAGAGGTTATATTGCTACAATTATTTTTGTGTGTACGCCATATTATAAATACACCAATTTAAATACAATTCTAATAAATGCATATCAATTTTTTTACATATATAGCCCCAACTTGAACAAAAAAATTGCGTATAGGATACAAGCGTCTGTGTTGATGCATCATAACCATACGATTTCTTTAGCCCCCTCACAAGCAGCAGGTGAAGTACCTTTGTTCCTGGAGAACCAAAAGGTAAAATATTGTAAAATTCATTGTAGCAGGAATCATGGCACAAGAGAGTGCTTCAAAGTAATTAGGATGACAAAGCCTAGAATCAATAGGAAGGAGCGTGTGAAGGCTCTAAAAATCAGAAGCCTTCATACTCAAATACTAGCACTGGCGGATCCAGCACCTGGCGAGCTCTCACGACCGCGCTTGTTGGATCCACTAGCAGCTCTCTCTTTTTTTGGTTGACAACAAACAACATTTTAGATTATATTACTGATAATTCATCTTTGTTTCAATCATCCCTTCTGGCTAAGTTAGTTAGACCGTGCGTATACATGATGCAAGTCTCGAGTTCGAATCTTTGGCAACCAAGTTATTTTGCAATATCTTTAGTTCTAGAATCTTTATCTTTGCCAAAACTAATTCAGTACCAGAAGAGATTTAAACCTGGGACCTTGTGCTAAAATCATTGCAAGCTTAAGCATCATGACAATTGTTCCTTTTTCACTCTAAATTTAACAAAATATTATATGTTACATATGATTTTAATGCAATTTCAATCATCCAAACCTGTACTCTTCATTTAAATTATACGAAACTTGGCAACAATATCATTTGATGAATATAATTTATTCTTATAACAAAATTATATATGTTCAATTTAAACAAAATAATTGTTATATTTAAATTTTAGGCCTTGTTTGATTCTTATTTATTTCAAAATACATTTTTAACTATCTTATTTTTAATCGTACATTTTTTTAATAAAAGAATATTATACGCAAATTCAAAATTTTCATTTATTTTTAACTACACATTCTCTATCAAATCACTATTTTAAAATATATTTTTTGTTAAGAAAAATGACATCAAACGAGCTCTTAATATTTTATTGCGGTCGACGGTCGACGATCAACAACCGTTCATGAAGACTCAAAACTCTGGATCCGCCAAGGGGAGAGGTCGTGAAGGTGGACCATGACAAATGGACTCATTTGCGAGCACAGGCAAAGGCAAAGAATTCACGCTCTCAACCTCTAGTGAGAGAAATTCATACTATAATCAGAGGTCCCCACTTTAGATAGGAAACAACGAGTGTGTAGAAGAATTACGCTAAAGTCGCTAAGAAGCTAACACTGGAAAGTTCTGGATCCAATGTAATTCCCGACCTGCATTTCTTCTAATTACATTTAAATTAATAGTCGTGATGAACAGGGAATCATTTTTTCCCATTGCAATGCATTGGTAGTACAGGCCGTATTAGCTCGTAACGGCCTAATCGCATGTTGGTGGATAATGGTGGCTCTATAAATATTGTTTGGAAGTGCCTTTAATTAAATGCAAGCGGATTACCCCTAAACACCCATGGTCGAAACTATAAAAGCTTTACTGGAGATGGTATGATCCTAAGGGAAAAGATTACGTTGGCAATAGAAATAGGCGAGGAACGAATTGTATTCCATGGGTATATAGACTTCTTGATTATGGACAACAGAAACGTTTGCATACAACGAAATCCTTAGAGGACCACCTCAATCCATCTCTTGTGCCTAAAATCCAAAACTCCAAAGGATAGCCATGGTAAAAGGTAATTAGGTAACAACACGTGAGTGTTACCTCAGTGCCTTAAGAAAAGCAACCATGAGGGCTCTTGTGATCAATACTGTATGGACAATCGAAGAAAATAAGCTCGAAAAACCTCATTTAGGAATGCAAATATCCGATGATATGAAGGATGGATTACAAGACCTATATGCTAGAAAGAGGACTTCACGAGTGTTAGGGGAAACATGAGTAAGAAAATAGTTAAACCGAAGATAGACCTAAAACGAGGTCATAGTTGTTTTACGAATGGAAAGTTGAAAGGCGAGCTTTTCTCGCCTACTGATAAGTCCTAACTAGTAGTGAGGTTAACTCCGTCAATGATTTTCTAACGAATGGAGAGGTCAACTTCGCTGATGATTCTTCAAGTAATGGCAAGATCATGTTCGCCAGTGGAAGTATGATTAAAGACAAGGCTTGTCTTGTTAAAGGCGACATCAATCCTTCCAAAAGTGTAGGATTGAAATTCACTTCTCAAAAGTGATGTATAGGGGGAGCACATGGTCGTCCTCAATAAGGAAATGTAATGACAAAATCAATATAGCTACATAAAGAAAATGTTTGTAAAAGGAGAAAAACTAGTAACAGTCGTTTCAATAATATCATACGTTAAATGATACAGTGTTGAATGACATATGTTTTATAAGCTACTTTGTTAAACCCTTCACAAACAAATATGCGAAACATAGTTGACGATTTAGATAAATAAACGAATTCGCGAAACACCAATAACAAAACATTTGTTAAATAATGTGAACTAAAAAAGGGTAGAATTTTAGCATTTGATGAAAAGGGGAGAAACAGTTGAAGTCCCGGAGGTTAACAAAGGAACTTCGAAAGGCTAGGTGTAGCTTCACAAACCTATAAAAAATCTATATTCTATTCAAGGTGAAAACTCATGATAATGTCAAGGACTTTGTTTCTGTAAGTGTTATGCCCTAAGTCCAATCAACTTTCAACATAAACACTTTTAGCATATAGTCGATACAATTTATAGCAGATGTATTATTTAATTTAAATAAATAATAGAGTCTGTAAATTCAAATAGTCGTAATTTGTTGATTATAAGGAGTTGTGATTGTGAGATACAAATTACATATGATTGAATCTTAAATCATCTGTGGTCGTAAATAACACCAAGATACGGATATCAATATTATAGATAGATTATCATGTGTGACATTTCTTATTTGTGAAGTAAGTAACCAATCTCACAAATTAAAGTATGGTGACACTTGATTGAACATGTAGATGTTTTGTTATAGAACAAAATTTTAGAAACCCGCTAAGAGATTCCACATGGATATCTAAGTGTTAGTGGTTAATCTCTAACGTTCGGTAGTTAAATTGGTCCTTTGACTTGAGATCATCATAGTGCCTTATATGAGGACAGACATACTTTAACGATGTTGGATGTTGCTCTGTCAAGAGCTGCTAAGTCATCATTCGAGTATATCAAGAATCGTATGAAGATTTTGAATGATCAATAGAGGAATCATCACTCTTAGATAGTAAGAGATTATGATCTGCATTTCATTCAATTAAGTCGATAGCGAAATCCTTGGCCAAGGTGTACTTAGATGTCAAAAAGGAGTTTTCAACTTTTATTGACTTAATAATGGAATGAAATATATAATCGATAATCGAGATTGACACACTTTCATATTTCGTAATTGACCGAATCATATTGACGAATAGATTATAGTTTCATGGTAAACGAAAAAGTATGATTTTGTCATAACACGTGACATTTTCTGTCACATGTATTGCCCCGACATATTGCTAGATGTCAATCTGGGACGACGAACGTAAATTGATGATAAGTTAAAAGAGTGTTTTAATTTATTGATTTTGATTAGATCAAAATAATAATT